CACTTCACAAATAAACATAAAACTATTAGACATTTGAAACTGTTAGATTTTTATACTTTTTAAAAAGATTGTTTAAGAAATAAACTTTGAAAAAAAGTATGGATCTAATTGATGATATTTATTAGTAAGCCTTTTTCCAACGATTACTAAATCATCGTTGAGAAATTTTTATATGTAGCTTAATTATTAAGAAATTTTGAAAAATGTCACTTTTTTTTATAAAATACCACCATTCAAAAATCTTTTCAAAAATTCCACTAAAATTACATCATTTTTCAAAATATCATTTACGTTGGAGTTAACTATTTTATTTTAGAGTTTAGTTTTTAGGGTTTAGATTTTGTTAGGGGTATAATTTTTTTGAAGGTTTAGAATTTGTTAGGGATCATAACCTTGCACCTAGAGTTGTGGGATGCACTTTATCTTGCAAACCAACAAAGACCAGAGATAAAGAAATGCACAATGGTTATGAATGTTGTCGGGTATATCTAAAAGAATAGGACATGTAGCATAGAGGACAATAATGGTAACACATCATCACAAGGAGGTTGCAAGGTGAACTTTATAACAGACATGTTTAACATACATCCTTCATTAATCCTTAGCAATTCCTAGTGGTTTCATTCGATATACTTGTAGTGTGCAACTTAGATGGTCAGTGCACACCGTCAACATCTCCTCTTTTGGGTGCCCTAGGCACAACCATTGCAAGTGCCAAAATTTAAAGGATTCTGAGACTGGCTATTCAACATGTACATGTCCCAATGGTTACAGCAGTAACCCATCTACTTCGGATGGATGCAAAGGTGAGTGAGTAATTTTTTTCTTTCTATATTATTGTGTTGTGAGAAGAAATTTACTTAATTATATGACTTTCCTCTACAGATATAGACGAGTGCCAAATGCTCCATGTTGACGGAAAACTCAAATATTGTGGTGGAGGCACTTCTATAAATGAGCATTGACCAAATAAATGATTCTGTCACATGAGCATTGACCAAATAAATGGCTGAAAACATATAACCATTGAGGTTTATAAAACCAGTTTTTGTGTGTTGTTCATATCAATATATGGAGTAAGCATCTTTAAAACAGATATGGACCAGTGAGAAGGTAGGAAAAAAAACATCTTTCATGGAGTAAGCTTCTTATTAATTACAGTGAGTTAGCTATTTTATTACTCCAATTTTCTTATTTTATTATTGAGAAATTTGTTAAATTATGACTCATTGAAATAGAAAATGTCCCAATACACTTTTTTCTCTATAAGAATGTTCCATTAAGATTTAGTTTCAATTAATCCCAATTTTAACATTGATTTATATTGACAAAGAGTTTTTTTTTTTGAAACTTCCAAAGTTCGGACGCATGACAGCTCCACTTTGCTCCGTCCGGTCTTGTTGATCAGTTTTCGTCTCGTCACGTTACCACACTCGAAGACTTCAACGACAGGTCTAATAGACCGGGTCTATGCTTCATATCTCCGTCCAGTCTTTCATGCTGTCGAGGTAAGTCGTGATATCTTTTGGTTCCTAATTAAATTCAAACATAAACTTTTGGTTTTCATTAAACTTTTATTCTCATATGGTAGCAATATTGGTAAGTTTTTCTTTATCAAAACAAAAAAATATTGGTAAGTTTTTGTTTAAAA